TTTCGATCGATAGATTTCTTGTAAAACAAGCATTTATAATAATCGACATTCATATTCTATAGTAATGCATGTTTATAATTGATCCAACAATGGTGAATTGTAATTTTATCGATCTTATACGATTACTCTTTGTGTTAACAACCATATTCTCGAATGACGAATGTAGTATCCATTAGCACAGTTGCGTTCTAAAAATGTAAAACTGGTGAAAAAAAATTTATTCACAGTTTATTGAGGTTACCGTTAATTGAAACACATGTCTCTTTTTTTTTCGTTAACGTGTATTTCGGAACATGGTATTTGGCTACTCCATGTTGTTCCAACAAATGATTGTTTTGTTATATTGTGGATATCTTTTGGAAACATACGATATAACGTCAAATCACGTACCTGTTTGAACATTAAGATTAAATTCTTTAACTTATTAGTCATTATTTAACGAGCAATTCTCTCGTCATACCGACAAAAATTAACAATTCTTTATCACATTTTTGTTTATTTTATTACATTGTTCTTGCAGTTTTGCTAATGATAATGCATTCTGCAAATAAACGTTCGATAAACATGCATTTCTTCTTGCATACTCCGATAAATCCGATTAATTACAAGGTATTTCCATTATCTTATATTTCCTTATCTTCGAATCATTTCCCGAACGAATTTTCCCTTCCACAAATAAAATTATTTTCAAAAAAAAAAAAAAAAAAAAAAAACAAGATAGCGCATAAAACACACGCATAAGATTTATTTACCATTCAAAATGAGGAGAAGATCTCGCTGCAAATTATCAAGGTTATAACTACACGTCGATGCAGATCTTGATGATAACGTAACATCCACGCTTCCCGTATATTAAACACGTACGACGGCTCTTAAATACACTACTCTCAAACCATATCCTGCCCCAAAACCGACCATAACGAGCCCCTTCCCTCCCTCCTAATATCACCCCTCCGGTACAGTACATACCTGTAGACACACAAACGCGAAATCCTTCGTCCTCCATCCCGCCCTACGATATCATTACCTGCAGTTTGGACCTGCAATGGTGGTAGTGGTAATAGTAGCAGTAGTATTCACGCGAGGCCGATTGATACGGAGCGTCCGGTCCGGATCGGGCGTTCACCGACGATCCGATTAAATACACGCGAACGGCCGATTCGTCCGAGAAACACGTTCGCTTAACGACGACCATGCGCTTGAAACCGCCGCGTTTCCATTCGTCGCGTTGTCGAAAGACGCTCGTGTTAAACGCGGTATAATCGGTATTAGACGCGTGTTCGAACGACGCCCCCTTTATCCCCCCTCCTCCCCACCACCACCGTGCTTGCGCGGGCTGTGCATCCGGTTTCAAACGGTTGCGGTCCGTCTCTGCGACTTTCGATTCTCACGTTGTGTTCTCGCGGCGAATCGACGAACGTGGTGAAACACGGCACGCAGGTATACGAATCGGTTGGCCGCTTACAAGGCAAGCCTAACGAGCGCTAGCTCCTAAGAGGCTTGGTCTGGAGAGATGTTTTCCCGAGGTAGCGAGGAGAATTAGCGTACTTTAAACCGTTTACGGGCAGATTACAGGTGACTACCAGGGCGAAAGTCTCCCTTCGCTTTATGGACAGGGATCGTGGTATTGCCGATTAGTTAGATTTTCTTCTTTGTCTTCCGTTTTCGGTTGAAAGTTTCTGCACTACCTGAGTTATTCGAGTTATTTATTTGTACTTAAAATTTTAGGTTACTTATTGATTATTAATACGAGTTATTCGAGTATGGATAATAAGGATTTAGAAATCAGGTTTAAGGTACGTTGTGAGGCGACGAATAGTTTCTTGAAAATTGAAAAGGAGAGAGGTAAATTTTTTTCTGAAATTTCACTTACTTGTTGTTTATTTTTTACAATAATTCTTCATTCGTCTTCTTCATTCATCGTCGAATTATCATATCTTATTAAGCCAAATTATTGTATGCACTGCTTCATCATCCATGGAATATAATATTAGTAAAGATTCGTATTTATTTAACTTTAAGAAACACTAAGAAATTATGATAAATTTCGTTTCACAAGGAACGAGAAATCTACTTATGTTACAAAGGGTTAAAAGAATCCTCTTTGAAGATTAAAAGCAGTTTCTTCTTCTTCGAAAGATGGGGAGTAAGCAGTGGTAAGCTTGATGGCTGCAATGTTATCACCGTAATGGACGGCTGCTGGCCCACAAAAGTTTAACATCGCCGGAACGCCACTAAGAGAAAAGACTTTCGTTTGTAATCTACAAAGATCACGGCTGCATAATATGAGCGTACTGACCGCAAACTGGAACTTGAGTACTCCATTTGCGAATATTCTTCTTCGGCTTCTTAAAAGTTTCCGAAGCGGAGGACGACCTAGTGGTAGTAGTAGTAGCAGCGGCGGCAAAAGCTTATCGTTAAAATGTTTGTTCTTCGTCCTAAATTCGGATTTAAAAGATTAGAAGAGCACAGGATTTGAAAGAAAAAGGGTTAAAAATATAATAGAGAAGATTTATAGATTTGTGGTATAGATTTGTTTTTAATCCACTATACATCCGATGCGTAACATATTTTTATTATATTTTTTTTTATTACAACTTAACATTTTACATTTCTGTTATTTTTAGAATGAAATAAAATTTTTACGAAAAATCATAATACTGCTTATTTCAAAATTAGCGCATTTATTCTTAATTTCGAATAATTATTTTTATCGTCGCTACTTCAATTTTTAAATAAAAATCGTACACGTTTTTTTTTTCTTGTAAACCGATATGAAATAAAAGAAAAGTTTATTTGTTTTAATTTCTAATTATTTTTATTGTTTATTTTATTTTTTTAATGAAAACTGCGCAATTTTTGTAAATCGATACCTATGAAATAAAATAAAACGAATTTATTTATTCCAATCTCCAATTATCTTTATTATTGCTATTTTATTTTTTTAAATAAAAACCGTACAATTTTTTTTTATTTTTTATTATTTTTTTTTTTTTTTTATTTTATTTTACAACCTCTAGTAAAGAACGAAAAGTAACAAATTTAATAACCCATTCATTCATTACAGCCTGTCTGGAAAAAAAAATTGTTTGTAATAGCAATTTAAATGCAAACCTTTTTCCCGTGTCTCGTTTCGTAACTGTGAAATCAACTTAATTGACGTGTTTGCGTCTTCGAGCACATTATTTTGGAGGCTGGTATTGTTACAAGTTGTCTAGCTCTTCCTTATGACTCCTCTAAACACGTCATCGATGACTACGAGAAACTGAAACAGCGAAAGAGAAAACGATCTTGAGCAACGTATGTGAAATCGTCGAATTTATTTAAACTCACGAATCTCCACGAATCTTGTTCCGCCACACACTCTGTTATTCTCATTCTCATCGGAACCCTTGAATGTGACAAATTGCAAATATGCTTGGCGCTCTTGGATCGGAGCCACCACGTTAAAAGTACATCTACTACATTTCTTGCAAAACGCGTGTTCCTCGTCACGATATCGTTCCATCGATACAATAATTTCGCAGAATCAAGCTGCTTTTTTTTTTTTTTTTTTTT